CAATGTGGGACCGTTTCGGACATACTTATGCCTATGTCTATATATATACATATATACATATACATATATATATATATATATATTATATTATATATATATTTATATGCGAATGTATTTGTATTTGTGTATATAAGTGCTGTCCATATATGTATGTAACTATTATAAATGACGGCAAATCATAAATTCCAACACAGGCCGTAAAACGGATTTTAGAATGTAGAAACTCTTATACTCATAGTAGGTTTTATTTTTCCACTCATAGCACCAGTTAAAATTGTAAATAAACATTACAACGCTGACGCGCTTGTCAAAATATATACATTTATATATAATTCTGGAAGGAACCACATGCTTTGCTGAGAGTAAAGTGTCATGCCCAGTGTGAGTCTGGCATATCGAGGCTACAACGATATACATCGAAAAATCGATTAAAAATAATCCTTGCAAGTATCTATTTAAATATGTGCATATTTAAATATATATACCGTATTAACACATATTAAACGCATATGGAGTTCGTATTGAGATTTCAACCTGAATTCATTTAAATCAAATTTTCCGATAACAAATATTTTATATCCCACAACATTTATCTTGAGTCATGTCCTCCCTAAAAACAATTATGCAATTCTCTCCCACAAATTTCTCGGACCAAAAGTGAAAGATCTGTAGATTACCGGTAACCTTCTCAAAGCAACATTTTCCGGTTGTGAAAAGTTATATTTCTGATCATTTTAGGGATATTACAAATAAACTATAATTACTCCCATAGTTGCAGAGCTAATATCGTTATACTTGAATAGTAATTTTTTTTTCTTCCACATATTAAAATTGTTGGGTTTATCGAGTCTACTCGAATTTGGTTATGGTATTCTAAAAAAAAAAAACATAAAATTAATGCATAACCGGTATTTAGCAGTAATTTATCTTGCAGTTTGCAACCACTGAAAAAGCACACGGATTATAAGATAATAAGCCCTTTTCTCATGGAACATTTATTACGAGTGAGACACGGCCCGTAACGGAATCGCTGTCCAACTACAAAGAATTCATTGACGCCATGCCGAACGTTGATGAAATCAGCTGCAGTGGTCACCACTCGTATATATATATAAGAATGACCTCTGCTCTTTCTTTTGTTGACTATCCCAAGGTAGTCCTATATTCTATTGTAAAAGGTAGAATTTACCCCAAGAATAAGGGTTACTGTCACATCACAACAACAACGTCAATGTGACGCGCGCGACAGCACAAGAATGTGTGTTTTTATTTTATATCTGAACATTGTCATTTGTTTGACCAAACAAAACTTCACACACCACCAAAAAAAAAAAAAAAAGAATACAAATTTTAAATGTTGACATTAAATTGATGTGACAATTGTGTAACTCAAATGTTAATTTATTCAATAGTTTATGAATTTTAATTTTATGTAGAGGGATTCTCTCCTTCCATTGATGTTCTTGTAAATAATTGGGTATCCAATTATATTTTTTAATACCTCTGCTAGTTGATGGGCAACGATTAACCCAATTTTGCGACACTATCTTAGATTTCACACATCTGTAATAATATCCTTGAAATGCAAGAGTTATTAAAAAATCTAAAATTCCATAAAAAATCAAAGCTTGGCTTAAAATATATTATACACTTGGAGAGGGTATTAAAATTATGTCCTTAACGCATTAGAGGCGACATCTCCTATCCCATAAGGAATAAATTCTTTTTCAGAATATCACTAGTCGAGTCGATATAGCTATGCCCGTCTATCTGTATGTTTCTATACGAGCTAGTCCCTCAATTTTAAAGCTCTCTTGATGGAACTTAGAATATATGCGATTTATGGCTGCTGGCTATACTTATGTTGCATACAATCAGTCAAAAAATTAGTTCTTGTATGAAAAACTTAATTGTTGACATATAGATGTATGTGTATGGTGAATATTTTTAGCAATTTATCAAAAATAATGTATTTCGCTCGATATGAATATTGCAATAGTAAATTCACACAAATTTAGTATGTATACCCTTTTTACGGATTATGGTCTATGGTGTAAAAATGCCATAATGAAAAAGGTCCACAAAAAGCCTTTGATGTTGGCAAATACAAAGAAGTTGCAGTGCAATGCACAGTATTACTATAAAAAGAAATACAAAAACAAAACCACAATTTCGCCGAAAGACAAAAAAGTGATTTTTTTCACAAGATGCTTGTTTCCATTTCCATGTCGATAGATGAGATAGAATGTGTGTTTGTGTGCATGTTTGTAAAACTTTTGTGTGCAAACATAGGGCTAAAAAGTCTTTGTCTATTCTTAAATTGTGAAAATTTGAGCTGCAACCAGAGGATATTAGACTAGCCTACATTTTAATAAGTGTATATGTATTTACAAATACAATCATACAAACAGATGTACATTAGGGTAGAAGAGCTAAATATATATTTCTTTTTTCAGTTGCATTCCTCTGAATAATTAATCGATGTACATTAGGGTGAAGTGAAAAATGTTTTTTTTTATTTGCTTTTTTTGTGCTATTATCGATGCCTTAGAAGTATTACTACAGTTCAATTTTAAGTAAAAAATACTTCAGTACAGAGCCACAATAAAAGTTTATTTTAAATTATATATATATATCTATACGAATATATGTATATTATTAGTTATATGTATATGTAAAAATAAAAAATGCTAACTTTTTATAAATTAACGCAAATCTAAGTTAATTTATATATAATTGGTATCTTCAAAATCTGACTTTTGTTGATAAAACGGAGATATATTCGTCAAAAGTGGTATTTTCTGTCTTGCTTTTCTTTAAATTTGTTTTTTTTTAATGCACCTTCTTTCCAAACTTTTAAAACAATCAAAATAATCTTTCCTTCTATAGTTGTAATTTTTTCATCTCAATAAAATTACTTTTGGTTATTAAAAAGGAACGTTCATCAACAACAACAGCAAAACTGAGATAAAGTAATAGATTTGATTTTTTTCACAAAAAAAAAATACTCTGCATGGGGAATACTCTGTAAATAAGTTTAAAGATCTTAATTTTCTAAAGCTGAAGTTTGTAGCTTTAAAAAAACCGTTATATGTATTTCTGTATGATTTTTATATATATTATTTTTATTAATTACTTACTAATTGACTGTTTTATTTTGATCTGCTATTAAGAGCTATTAAACAAATATATTTTACGATTCAACTTAAAAAAAAAACATTTTAGATACCTTATGAAGTCAAATATAAAATCATTTAAAAAAAGAAAATTTACGATGATTTGAATTTGGAAAGAGGCAAACTCAAAAACTGCAGTTAAGTGAGCGAACTTCATTACCTTTTTAAAAAAATATTTCTTAAAAATAGAAAACATTTGTCCACCATATTTTGTGCTTTACAATCGTAATTTGTGCTTTATAAGTCGACAATGAAGCTTATTGATCATATACATAAAAGCAATTATCGGTCGATATTTGAATTCATGAATGAAAACCATTTTTGCAGATTAAGAAACCATGCCATGTCAAGTTTTTGCACTTTTAAAAAATCGGACTGAAGTATCTCATAATTAGTATTATTTTTTTTTTTCCCACAATTTATTTACTAAAGAAAGGGAATGTAATCTAAGACATTTTTTATTGCCTTACATATCTACGGTAATCATTTGAATGTATTTCAGCTCTGCACACAGGATATCTTCTAAATGACGTGATCTCTTTTGCTTAACACAACTGAATGACTCTCTTTTCCGTCGTTCGAACTGACGTCACAAGTAGTCACAAGTATTAATTGTGCATGCGTGTCATTGCCATGAGCTATGAGGCTACTCATCACAGCTGTGCACAAGCATGAAAACATTACCTTTGTGGTGTGGAAATACATACATATGTACATTTGAGAATCGTTTCTCCTCGCGGATGCTCAACATAATTATTCCCATCAACAATGGGTAGGAAGGGTATGATGTAGTTGTGCCACAGCGTGTAACAGGTAGATGGAAGTATCTCCGACACCTTTAACCTAATTCCTGATCAGCATCAAAAGCCGAGTCTGACGAGTATTAAATTCAAGCGCAGCTAAAATTTGTTTTACTTTAACGAAATAGAAAAATAGATTAACGATATAACGTTCAAATTTCTGCAATATCATTTAGGCTTATGAGTAAGTGAAAACTTGGGTTCAGCATATATCTTAGTTGAACTCTCTTGAGCAGAGTATTCCTAATTTTTTTCCTTTTTATTTTAGCGAAGAGTCATTGCAAATACAGTAGGTCAAGTTTGTTCGTATTCAGTCATGAAATATGTTTGTACGTATAATACAAGGGCGTACTCGGGGGAGACAAAGAAGCATACTACTAATAGACTACTAAAGAAAGAAAATTGGAAATATAAAACTCGATTTGAGATGCGTTTACAATAAATTTAGAGAACCATTAATTATTTGTTTATAAAAAATCAAAGAAATAAAATTCAGCACCCCATCCTCTTTAAGCTGAGCACGCCCTTGGCATATATACATACATACATGCATACATACATATAATTTTAAGGCCAATTTATTCTCGATTGCATCTCGATCGCGTTTCAATAATTGGCTACAAGGATACGTATTCCAGTTTGAGCAAAGCTCTTCTCCTTTTTCTTTTTCGTTTTGAGTGGTTTTTGTTTTCTAGCATGCAGCAATTACAATCAGATTAGTTGCATGTGTCCTGGGCTACTTCGACGCCAACATAAAATCGCAATAAAACTGCGTCTTTGCGTTTAATCGCTCATTAGCCTTTCATAAAAATAAATATTTTATTAACATTTCAATCACATTTTTTTTATTATATGTAATTCTTTATATTCTTGATTAAATTTCTGATTCAGAAAATAAAACTCAATAAGCCATGTGCTTCAATTCAATGCTTACTTGAAACTAGGTTTTCGATCCGCTTCTCTATTCATTTCATATGATAAATCAAACACAACAAATATCCAAAATAATTTCTTACAAATACAATATATTGTTAATTTGGCACTCAAGAAATATGGATGTCAACAAAAAGTATAACCAAAACGTGCTGAAAGCGATTGCCAATCTGCAGGAACGACAATCCCTCCTCATTCCTGTGCAGACTATCATTCAGCAGGTCATTTTTCAGATGCGCCGTAAAATAATGCTAGAGCCAGTCATAAGCAAAATTTTAAAGTCGTTGAAAAGTTTGACTGAAATCGGCATCTTGACACGCAGTCGCAGCTCTGAGTACGGGTTCCACAAGTTTCCCATTGCGAGCACGATTAATAAGAGTACTGTAAGTTTTACCTAGAAGCCCTGCATCTTTTAAAACTGAATAATTCTCCTGTTATACAGAAACGTAGGCTCACCAACCATTTGGCAAAAAGAAAACAACCCATTTCATCGTGCAGCTCATTTGGATCTAAACGTTCCCAATATGATGATATTCTCCCGGTCATTCCGACATTTTTCGCAACCTTCTCGGATCAGGTTTCGGAACAATCCCCCGAGCTGACTTTTGAGGATTCTGCAGGAGCTGTTGAACTAAATACTACTCTGATGAATAGTGTGGAGGTGGAACCGAAGAATAATCCTATTTTGGATGAATAACTGATGGATGATGAACCGCTCGCCTTAGAGGACTATGATTTTCATGGTCCCATTCCTCTAATTGGCCGCTAATTGCCACACAAGTTTGGAAAACTGCAATTTGATTAAAAAGTTTTAGCATTAATTTAATTCCAATTTAATTTACAATTCGCTACTTCAAGAAAAATTTAAAAATATATTATAAATAAATATCTTAAGCAATATAGCTTATAGCTTTTTAAACTTAATCCATACAATAAAATAACGCAACTCTAGATCTCAAAGTGAAAAGAAATATTGGTCAATCATATTATCATCACTGTCTCAGAATTGTTGACGTTCCGAGGAATGATCGCTGTACACTTAATTTTGTATCGTTATTGTTTTCTGCTCTATTTTCAAAACTATGCGACTGCCATTCAATGATACAGTAACATTACTTTTTATAAGGCGCGTTTTTTTGGTTTTGTTTTTAACTTTGCTTTTACTATAAAGCTTCAAACATTTTAAATGCGCCAATTTGTAGATCTGTGTATTATTCATGTTTTTTTTTTGCAATCTCATCCTCAATTTTTACTCTATTTATCCTCTGCTTCCACTAGTTGTTTTGTTATTAAAAATCCAAGAGTTAGTATTCCACAACTTGAATCTTTCTTCGTTGTAGCGCACAACAAATTCAAAGAAATGTCATACATACCATTATATTAAAATAGACAGTTCGACAAGAAAGCAAAGAAATCAAAATAAAGTGAAAAAGTACGATAACATATTTCAATATTTCTGAACATTAATGCTAATATATTAATTGTCTTTGACAGCTCACAGCTGATCAGATAAATATTGGTAAGCTTATAGAAAAGCCCTTAAAATTTTTGACAAACAAAACAGTTGCATGCAAGTGTACAGAATTTGCCAAATCTCCGTTTGAGAAACCACTTAAACTATTAATAATAATACCAATAATAATTAAAATGGTAAGGCGAATCCTTCTGGACAAAAAATGAGATCTTCTTCTATAAAGTTAAATCAGCATCAGTTTCCAATATGTTTAGCAGTCAGACTAAACTTTTTTGGCAATATATCTAGAGCAATTGCCAGACTTCTCTCATTTTGCCAAAAAAATCATCATCATCAGATGAAAGGAACAATCGACTGAAGATTGAGAGTCAGTATAAGAGTAGTGCCACCAAAATATCCATAGATATAACTAAATTCTCTAACTTCAGACCAGAATTTAGGTTAGACTGAACCCACTCGACAAGGGTATGTAATATTCGGTATGCCTAAATTAGCAGTTCTTTCTTGTTATAAATTATAATTTAAAAAATGCTGCTACTGTGAAATATGTAATTCTTTTTTAATCAGCCCAAATTTAATAAAGCCAACAATTGCGAAACAATGACAAATTTAATCATTTATTTGCAATCTCAAATGGGAAAAAAGTTAAATAATAAATTTATTTTAATTAGTTGAATGTTTATTTATTAGCAGACGGGTTTTTATTTACTTTCTTCAGAATTAATTGCGGATTTTATTTTTAATTACAAATAAATTTCTATGTCATTACTAAACATGCATTAGCTTACCTAAGGGTGAGACCTTGATTAATAACAATACAATTTGTTATTTATTTTTATTTTTTCATTTGGTATAAAAATAATAAGAAAAATACTTTGATACCATAAGTTTTTCCAGCAGATAACAAGTAGAAAAGAACAGGATGGGTGTAGCCAAGAAGTACTGTCCAAGTTTGCCTTTCAAATTGCATAGTAACGTTCCGTGAACGAAGTTGGTTAATGGGACTTTGATGGCAGGCGGCCAATAAAAATTTTGAAGTACGATCTTAGCAATCTATCTTCCAAGTTTGGTAACTGTAGCTCTTAAATTGTGGGAGATATAGGCTTTTATAGATTTTGTGGGGTGATGTGGTCCAAAACTTGTTTCCGAGTTGTTGTGGCTATACCAGTAACATACTTTTAAAATTTAGTGACTCTAGCTTACAAATTGTGGAGGATATGCGCATTTTAGATTTCTAGGGCCGAAGTTTCTGGAGGCGGCTGGTATGGGCGTGGTCTGAAAATTTATATTCCGATCCTTGAAGGAGGTTACCAGCAAGTTACCTTCCAAGTTTGTTTACTCTATCTTAAAAATTGTGGGAGATATGCGGGCTTATCGATTAACACTTTCCGAAATATCGGCATTGGCGATTATGGGCGCAGGTGTAGGCGTTACCATAAAAATTTGTTATGGGTTCTTAAAGGATCTAACTCAAAAACTGCAGAAGATATAGCCATTTAAAATTTTTAGAGGCGAAGTGCGTGGGGGAGGCGGATGTGGACAAGGCCGATCTTTGAATGACATCGCAAACAACCTACCCACCAAATGTTATGACTGTAGCCATAAAATTGTGGGAGATATGTGACTTTATCGATTTGCGAATGTCGATGTTATCGATTGGTGGATGTAGCAATCCATTTTTAACACTTTATCTGACGCGGGCACAGACCAGTATATGTTCCAAGTTTCAAGTCTCTATCTCAAGGATGTCGAAAAAACTTGCGTTCAAATAGACAAACAGACAGCATGATGGACACTGCACAAAACTAATATACTAAGAGATACCTTGGGTATTATATTACATTATGCCTTGATAACTGACCACAGAACTGTTAGCACTTTCTTCTCACCCTCCACAACTTTTATTTAGTTAATAGCGTATAACAATTGTTGGTCTGAATAGGATTTTTGTGTAATACCCATACATTTTTTATATTCTATGACTTTATTTATTTAATTTTAAATTATCATTTATTTATTCATTTGTAATTCTATTTAATTTAATTTGCAACTGTAAATTTTATATTTCACTGTCAATTTTCATTTTTTTTTGTCGATTTTTTTTTTTCTCAAAGAAAATAAAACGAAAAATAAAATATATTGTCCAAATTAGGATCCTTTAGCAATTGACGTATATTTCTGACTTCAAAAATAAAAGTTAAAATGTAATATCGAAAGCAAACATTTGTCTCGATTCCGTGATTGAAACTAAACCAAAAAGCTGATATAACAAATTTAGTTAATATATTCTCGAAACCAATCTTGAATAATGCATCAAAATTCTTATCAAAATACTTTCAAATAATAGGAAGTATTCTTATCACAAACAATTTTAATTAGGTAACAGCTGCAAAAGCTGTTTTAATTGTTGTCAACAAATTTTGCAATAAAAATAGAAACAATAATTTTTTCATGCATATTTTAATAGTTTCTTTTAATTTTTTGGTCACATAAATTTTGGCCCTTGTAATTATAATTACTGACTAAACATGCATATGTAAATAGACTCAGATTTCAATGTAAAAGATATATACATTATATATAAGAGTATATACATATATTATACATTTGGCGATCCGTTACGATCATGCGGGTTACGAGGCGTCAATATTGACAGCGGCGGTATGCCAATACTGTGGATATGCCCAGGGGTTTGCTTTTAAGTAATTTTATCCTCACCCAGAATGCCACGAAGATGTCCACGAGCAAAACGAGGCACACATGCAATGCGGACGGGACGCATGCATAGAAAGCTCGGTTGGAAGGCCGGATGGACGACATGAATGCATGGAAGCATTGTCAGTCGCGCAATCATCGTAATAATTCGCCTCAACTTCAACATCAACTTCAACTGGAGCCGAGAAGCCAAGCGGAAATTACCAACACGCGATATTTAATTTTAACAAAAGGTGAACCAATCATTCGTCTGCTGCGGCTGCTGTTGCGATTGGACATTGGACATCGGACTTTGGACATTGGACGTTGGACGTTGGACGTGGCTCAATGCATTCAATTCTTCAGTGGAAGCTTCTGGGCACATTTTGCAGTGCGAACCCTTGTAGACCCGCTCACATCTGAATTTAAATATTTACAAAAACCAGTAAGAGATGCTATCGTAGGCAAGCCGAACAATACATACCCTTGTCGACCGGACTTAATCTGCTGTCATATAATTCTTCCTCCGGAGTTTGAAATATTATTATATTTCTGAACATTCTGAACCAAATTCACTTATAGGCTTCCAGTTTCAGGTCTTGCTGCGAACTCAATATTCACAATTAGAAACAAAAATGCTTAATTTTACACAAATATTAAAAAATCAAATTTAATTTGACTCAAACAATTATATCTTGATCGCATATTCATATCACAAATTGTGACATAACAAAAAAGGTTCTTGTTCTCAGATTAATTTCGGTCTTCTAAAATAACTGAACTTGCTGATGGAGGTGGGCGTAGACATACAGTAACACTTCTATTTCATTGTTAGACCGATTGATTCCAATGGCGGATATATGATATGGTGGTCCAATCCGGTCACCTCGGGCTTATGTACAGCAAAATAAGGATACTTACCAGGTTTCAAAGTTTCATTAAGTTATAAATTTTACGATAGGCAGAATTGGCCACGTCGAGTCGGCTTTATTTATATATATATATATATATAAATATCAACCAACCCAAACGGATTGTAATCTGAAGTAATGTAAACTTTTTTTTTTACTTGAAATATATACATTAGATATATAATTGAAGTCGGTGATATGAAAAAGTGATAATTCACTTTACATTTTAACAATGAATCAATAAATATCTGATCTAAACCGTTTATCTGCCAGCGGCATCTTGTTAACAAAAACGCTTCCTTAACTCCAACTTCTCTGCAGCCGAAGTAATGAGAAAGCAAACTGAGCCTATTTGCTTAAGGACTAGTCCAAAAATTTAAAAATATTAATAATAATTGTAAATTAAATTTAAAATTAAAATCAAAGTTACCAATAAATCGATTTCAATTTAATAGTCAATTATGTTATGTTAAATCTGTGGGTATGTAAATATAAAATGGTGCAACATTTATTTATTATTTTTGGAGAAAAACTGTATATGTAAAAGATCAGCAATTGATTGGTTGAATTATTTTTTTCAAGGCCAACACCAACGAACTGCTGACTCACTTTTTCACCACGGATCACATTGCTATATACGTGGCACCCAAGACACACATATCTGTCCGAGCTAACCAATTGAACCTAAACTGAGATGTGAGCCCATTTTCTTAAATAAGAGGAGCCCCAGAGCAATATTGAATCTCCGAGATATTCCTGGAAAAGCTAAACAAAAAACTGTGTGAAATTTAACACCAACCGCGAACCTGATGTCCAAATAAACAGACAGCACATGCAGAATGATGCTTTAGAAATAAATAATAATGTATAAAATATATTACTTGAATTTCCTGAAGAAACTAGCACGACAAGTTGGAAATATTATTTACCAGGAGAACAACCAGAGGATGAGCAAACAATGCAAAAAAAGTGTCTCACTTTGCCCTTTGTCTGTATGTAAAACGAGCAATTTGAAAATACATTTTATCATTTTTGTCAGGACAGAACTTGAAAACGATAAGAAATACAGCTAAACGCAAATTTTCAAAATATAAGGATTATGTCAATTGTCATGTGGATGACAACATGGATTACTGAAAAAAATTTTTGTTAAAATAACAAAATATTGAATTTAATATCCAAATATTCAGTCGGCCTAGATTTAATAAACAATAAATAATAATGAAAGGGAGCTCATAGTATAATGTTTTAAATTTGTTACGGAATTTTGCCTTATCATTTGTAGAATTGTCAAAATAAGGCTCAGCTTCTCAGACAGGATAGCGGCTTACAGTGACACTTTCGACTATTAAAATTTAATAATAAATAATCAATTGGCCATTAAAATTATTTACAAAAATAAATAAATAAATTCCTTTGTATTACAAAGGAAGTGGTTGATTATATTGAGCGAGCCCTATCTTTGATCCATTGTGAGGACTTTGAGCTCAAACAGTTGATAACTTTTCAAGTGTTTAGAAGACTCATTAAGCGAAAAATACATTTATATTAATATGAATATATTATTAGTTTTAGAATTAGTTTCAATCTATTATTAATTTCAGAGAGATACAAATATGACACAGTTAAACTGAGTAAGGGTAAAATAATTGTAGGTGGCCATATCCACTTGTTTAAACAAACATATGAGAACTTGGAAGATGTTTAGGTGTTCGTATTTGGAATCACTGTAAGGTGTTGATGTATTTAAAAAGGATGTGCATAGCAGGCAGCTGGCGAACGATAGCAGGGATCAGTTAGAGTTGCCAGAATATGCAGAAGAATAATTCTGTATTCGGGAAGTACGAACGATTTTTTCAGCAGAAGCGTTTGTGAAGCAGCATAACATTTAGCCGTAAGTAAATAAAGTAATTTTAATACTGTTAAACAAAAATATAATAAAATAAAAAAACACATACACAATTAAAGTGTCGTATCAATCAGTCTCTACGTTCGCAGATCCGACCTAATCATACTTCACGACGCATAAATACGAATCAACAGCGTCGACTTTGGATAAGGTATTTTAGTTTTGAGTCGACTATTGATAATGATCAAAAAAGTACAAATTAAAATACCCTCTCAAGTATTCAAAAAAAATATATAAAAATAAATATGCAATGCCAAATATATATTTGTATATTGATTAGATCGCATAATGTAAAATACACTCGATTCTCAATAGTAGTTAGTTATTTATTTGTATATTAATTACAAACACATATGCTTTTTCTTTTTTACAACAAAAATAAAACAAATGTATAAAATTAGTTTACAATTATTCCAAAGAATTTTGACTATTCAATACCAACTAGATGCTAGAACATTTGACTTAAAAAGATTTATTGCATTTGGTTTTTTTTACACAATCAACGTTGCTTGTTTAATGACATTAATAGTAATTAGAAGTAGAAATTTGTTTCATAATAATTATTGCTTAGATACAATTTGAAAACTAGAAATTGTTGCAACTGTTATCGTTTATTAAAAACTACGTTAGTAGGAAGTCGGTCTAATAAATTAAATATATGTAAAATTGTCATCATTATTATTATCTACACCAATTAATTTGACTATTGCTCGGCATCGCTGGGAATTGATGTGCTCGATGATGTGCTGTTCTTGTCGGGACTCTGGGATCTGCTGTTCGCCGGACTGGAGACCTTGGAGGTACACCATCGCACGGACAAATCCTCCGGTTCGCTGTCGTCGAAGCTCTCCTTCGAGGACTCGCTGTGCACCGATGCATGACTGAAGGACCTCTTCAAGTCATGCGTCCCCTCGTTGAGTGTACGCTGGGGCACCAGCAGCTCCGCTGTGGGATGCATCGAAGCAGCCGCCGCAGCAAACGCAAAGAAATTCAGGCTGGCACTGAACATCTTGCACCAATCGAGGAGTGCGCCTCCCTGGCCGTCGAGATCGGTCGCTGGTGCAGTTGCAAATGTCGCTTGTTGCAACATGCCAGCCGCGTTATCTTCAGTCAGCTGCAAGGATTGACCCGTGACATCTGGAGTGGGCGTGGCCGTGGGCGTGAGTGTAATAGGGCAATCATTATTGTTGCTATCGTTAACATATTGGGTTTGAGTTGAGTTTGCTGGAATTTGTTGTTGTTTGGCTGGATCCCTGGCCCAGTTTTTCACACTTAGCAACGGACAATTGAATTGCTTGGATTCCTCGAATGCGGCTGGTTGTGTTTGCGTCTCACTGTATTTGGGACGATTATGTATGCCCGGAGACAACTTCGAGTTGAAGAGGGCTAGCAGATTGAGTTGCTGCACCATGTTGTTTGTGGAGTAGCAGCCCATCACGGGTGAAACGGCATCGGTGTCGTCTCCAGTGCCCGTGGCGGTGCCAGTGACAACCTCTGACGGATGCAGGCCATTATTAATATGCTTGATCTTATTGAACTCTACCAAAGCCAACTTCTCCAGAAGGGCCTCATTGTGGGAGGCATAGAACTGTGAGCTGCCAAAGGCGGCCAATTCCTCATAATTGCCAATGGGCATTGTGGCAAATTTCGGTGGCAGCAACTGCAATTCGAATTTGGCGCGCTTCTCGGGCGGACTGGCCAGGCCGGGCATGCTGTCGGTGCCCAGCTGCCGGCACATGAAACGCAATTTTTGCTCATTTTTACACCAACCGCGAAGCGTCGATTCCGGCACTCCAATGTCGCGGGAGACACTGGCCTTGGTTTCGCCATTGTGGATGCGTTGAATGGCCCGCACTTTGTCATTGGGCGTTAGATTTCGCAGTGGTCGCTTGCCACGCGTACTCATCCGAATATTCATGTGCTGATACGCTGAGATATCCATTTCAACGTTCAAATTCAAATTGTCAACGATCAGCGAGAGTTAAAGGCGCGTCTGTCGATTTTTCACGAATTAACCGAGTACTGCGGCAACTGTGTTGTTCACTCCTCGGATTAACAGAAGGATGTGATTCGAATTTGGCAAACGATGTCCTATGGCGGCAGCAAATGCCTGTTCCAAAGCGAGTTCAAGGCAACTGCGGCGAAGAGCGAGACATGAACATAGGCGGCAAATAACTTGCTCTCACAACTCAACTCTTCTCTCTCTTTCTCTGTCTCTCTCTCTCTCTGTCTCTCTCTCTCTCTCTCTCTCTCTCTCTCTTTCTCTGTCTCTCTGAGACGTGCTCTCTGAGAGGGTATAAGAAAAATAAGAACAATTCAAGAGCAGTCAGTTCACCACCACAACAACTTGTTACTCTTGTCAACTTGAATTCGCTTCGCGCAAACTCTGTGTTGAATTGAAGTTAATGGGAACAGAATTGACAGGCACACATCTTAAGCAATGAGACTCTTGATTTGTGTACGGTTTCCTATACAGCTCTCTCTCTCTCAGCATATATTTTCTTAAGAGCCAAGCTTCTGTAGTCCATTTGGTTTCATATTCCTTTATCTCCACTCTCCTTCCACCTCGCCTTTCGCACTTCAAAAATATGCACATACATATTTGCATACCTTATGTATATGTGCTTACATATGTTTGGCTGAATGTGCATATATACAAATATATTTACAGTATTTGGCACTATGTTTCGATTTAATATTCTTTAACTTATTATAAATAGTCATATTTATAGGTATGCAACCTACAAGATATCAAAACTATGAAATTATTTCTGTTAAGCCGCAGATAATTTTGTGTATTTGATTAAAATGTATATAAAAAAAAATTCTCAGTTTATCAATATGAGTATATAAAGTTACTACGAAAGTATACAATGGGTAGGGGCAGAATATCTCCTGGCAGCCCAATCCCGACTAGAGCAATTTTAAAATTAATTTTCCAGTTATTTATTCATATTTTCGCGGCTTTTGGCGGCTGTTCTGAGCCAGCTGCAATGTTATCGATTGTCAATAACAGTGCTGTAAAGGAACAGCATAGTGAAGGTCCATAAAACAGCTGAGAAAAGCCGCGCAGTTTAAGAACTAGAAAATTCTTTTGGCCCGTATGACAAAAATGATTTAAATCAAATTTCGCATATAAAGGGTATATTCATTTTGTTATTCGTAAAATTTTTAGCGCTCAAAAGGGGACTTCTTTGAGTACATAAGTTAAGTTATGAAACACAAAACATATAAGCAAATTTTGTTTAAAAATTTACCTAGACATAATGATATTTCGAACTCCGGCTTGAAATTTGTACCTACAAGTTTTTCTATAATACTTGACTTGACACGCGAATGAAATGGTTGTTAACTGTTCGAGCGGAATCCAAGATTCAACATTTTCAGCGGCTCCTGCGCTGCATTTTTTGGTTTATTGAAAGTCCGTTCCAAATAATTTTATTTGTTATTTATTATTTTTATTTTCATCTATTGGTTTGTGGGCTGCCAATTCTTTAGACTGTGACTAAACTGACCAGCGTTTGTCCAATTAACTTTAATTAAGCATATTTTGTCTTAGCACTTGTATGTTCAACAAGTGTGAGCATTCAAAATATTCTTCTATTGCATACTTTTTCTTAGATGGGGTATGTTCAACAAGTGTGGGTATTAACAATTTTTATTGCATAATTCAAGGCGGCTTCAAAATAACCAGCGGCGAACACAATCAAAAAAGCGTAAAGGATGCAAAGTAAATTTTTCAAAAGTGCGATGTTAATAATGCAGACAAATTATAAAAATAGTTCTATAGTGTTAAATTAAATTTAAGCTTCGTTCAATATTATGATTTTCTTTTTTTTCCAGAAATAAATTCTCAATTAAATGTTTTAAACATTGATGGGAATAATAAAGATGAAAACTTAGGAGATAATAATGTTCGTCTAATTAAATTACCAGCTTTATTTTCAACTGAGAACTTATGAAATATTATTAGATCTCGCAATTTAAGGCAAAAGATATATATCTTATTCATTTGGTGCAATTTCTGCCACCATCATGAATAAGATTTATATCTTCTGCCTTAAATTCAGAGATCTAATAATATTTCCCAAGCTCTCAGTTGAAATTACGGCAGCCATCATCTGTAATTGATCGTTGGATCTTTGAATCCAACTCAAATGATCCATACGGTGCAATTTTTACTTCAAAATTGTGGTAACTTTTCAAATATTTTTAGCTCACAGAAATTATGCGACAGCGGGATTATTTACTTCTAAATTAAATTTCATTTCGACTGATCAATTTTTTATACCACTTATGATTTTATTAAAGCTAATCATTTAAATGCAGTGAATAGGAGAATATTAATAGCCGTTCGTAGCTATTTCGATCATTCGCATCTCTTCTGTAAAAAACATCATCCGAATATATGATCGCGGTCATGTAGATAATGGGGATGTATTAGTTAATAGGACTTTATGCATACTAATGCAAATAGATTTCAATGCATGCAACACTACAAACACTTTGCTCGCTCATTATGTACAATTTAATGCTTTGCTTTTTAAGACGTTATTTACTTAAGATTACTTTGAATGAACCGAACACAAAATGAGTTTTCAATGCTTTATTACTCGAAGGACATCTCGCCTCTTCGCTGTTATGATTAGAATTAACTGTTAAAATGAATATCAAGAGCTTCTTAACCTTGGAGGGCCGGTCCAATGTCGCGGTTGATCCCGATAAGTGCAGCATAAGAACTTCCGGCAGGCGCTCAAATTGCTAAGTGGATATTGAGCAACAAAGCGGAAGCGGGTAGTTCATGGTTAACTTACACATTTCTTAAGAAGTAATGAGCATCTGGATCACTGGTGTTCGAGTTGTTTGTGGAAATATAACTATAATATATTTGGCATCTGGGTTCAGGGAAGTCGAGCTCGCTTAAGATGCGAGATCCAACTAATTCAATTCATCCATTCTCTTGCGTAACTCCCAAACTGATTGAAATCTAGATCGCTCAATACTGTATAAGCATTGGTAAAAAATGTTGTCACATGACTTATTTTGGTGGACTATCAATAATATGATAGTCCATAAATTATTATTTGGATATGCATCTAAACTGTGTTTATTAATATAAAAATATATATATGTGAATTTATACTTGATAAATATATAAGTTTAAGTATGTGTTTACCAATACGCTATTAAATACGTCAGCGAAGTTATGCGAAAAACAAAAGAAAAAATGACTAAGAACAAGTAAGAATGCTGTAGTCACGAGTCAGGTCGACCAGCTGCTAAATATATATATTAAATTAAATTATTATTCTTGAAATTGCTTGTCCAGTAGCAGCGCAAGTTTCTTGGGGCTAATACTGGATATTGGAAACTAGACTGGAACCTTAACACCCAAGAACTGGCAAAAGGCAACAGTTGCTTTCTACATTTGTAGGAAAGCCATTGGACTCAAGTAGGGCATGTCCCCCAATATAGGCCAATTAGTGGAAATATGTATATATATATATGTATGTAGGAATGGGAATAGACACAGAGAGACGAGAACATAAAGAAACGCGATGTGATCACCGTTATTGAACGACGAGTAGACACTAAGAGCGCAAATAGAGAAGGTTGGTGAGTTCCGCGATTTAAGAAACCCGAAAATATTATTAATAAACAATTATAATAATAAACGTCGGCTCTGATTTATTTACTGCTAGTGAATACCAGTGATCCACATGTATGTCAAAGCAAGCAAACAAATCAAAATCAGCTTAACAATAAAAATCAACACTCACAGGCATAAGACTGAAAAAACCCATAGGTTGGATTACTCAGAATAAAGATCACTCATCCATTCTAGCAGGGGGCAAAAAAGTCACGCCACAAGCAAACTTATGTGTGCCTGACTTACATTCCCCCAAAGGGGGAATAGCACACCGTGGATCACCGATAGTCTTGACTTTCTCAAAGCTAAACAACCTTTTTGAAGAGTTATTTAGATTTAATGAATCCTTAATATGAATTATGGTGAATTGAAAATAGTATAGCAAATTAAAGTTAGTATAATTGTATTGTAATTATAATTGTAATTGTATACTTAATCTCTATGTATATATATTATGTATACCTAAGCAATATTTGTTCGTATTATAAATTACTTTATAAGTACACCCATAAGAACAAGTAAGACTGCTGTAGTTCATAGACAGACGGGCGGACTGGCTATATCGACTCGGCTGTTAACCCTGATCAAGAATACATATACTTTATGGGTTCGGAGATGCTTCCTTCTGTCTGTTACTCGGAAAGAGTGTGCCCATTTTCAAATTGCTTGCAAGAAAATGTTAAACGCTGATTATCTGGAGGAAATCCTTCCCTTTCCTCGATCTTGACTTTGAAATTTTCGACGGTATCCGAAGGTTCGACCTCAAGAACGAAGACTTGCACAGACAACGAAGACTTGCATCTTATCCCGCTTTCTTCGCAAAAGTCAAGAAAAAAGTGAAAATATGATAATGATACGGATAACAAAACGAATTATTAAGCAAAGTGCACTTATAAGAACGCTATTAGCCCGCCCAATACCCCGAAAACTTTCAACAACGTTGACCACAACATAAAATGTTTTCGGACAACAGCTCGTATGTATCGATGTCTTCCTAGGGATGTTTCTCATTAATGATAATGCATTTGATTTCCGATCAATACAGTGTGCCAATTAACAATCCACCTTCAATATTGGCTCGGCCGACACACACTTTTTCTTCTTCCCCAGGTCTTGTTTCCACAGAGACGGAATTGGTTCCAATAAATCCATCAAAGCTGCGCACCCAGTGATAATTGCTGTTAGGATCAACAGCACCTCGAAGTCGGTTGCTGAAAAAGCGGCTTCTTTAGTGTAATAAATAGTATAGCCAAATACAACCAGCAAATATTATAACTCGCGGATCGAAATATAATTTGAAAGTTCAGTAAGCTTTTAAAAACTGTGGACGAATATGTT